TGTAGGGGAAGGCTAGACAGGAAATCTCCACCAAGCGTGCCCATAGCAGGGCTCCGCAGCACCGAGGACGGCTGGTGACCAGACGTCAGGACTCTGTGAGTAGACAGGAGCTGAAGCAGGTAGCAAACTGCAGTGCCCTCACCAGCTCAGCTTCCCAGGTCCCTATCTGTCTGCCTGTCCGTGCACCAGAGTTTGCCCAAAGATCAGAAAGCATTCCTGACTTCTTCCCCTGTCCCTTTCATTATAGATTCAGCCTATTTTCTCATACCCTTTGCTTCCAGGTAGGGCTGGGATGGCAGCCGAGGTGACGGGACAGTGCTTCTTGGTCGGGGGCAGATCCTCCTCATCTGATGAGCTTTCTATCGTCAAGTCAATAACTTCAACCTTTTTCTTACTCTCTGATGGATTCCCCTCTTGGACTGGGCTGTACTGGAGGCCTGTAGGTGGTAAGAAAATTGTGTCTCAGACAAGAGGCCAACCAAGATTTAGCTCAGCTGGGGATCAGGGGGTCACTCACCATCCAGCCCATACCCTGGCGGGGGGCAAACCTCAGATGCCTCCTTCTTGGGTTTCATTGGGCACCAGGATCCATCTTCCATGAACTGGATCTCATCACAATCCGAACAGGAATTAAGAATCTCCATGAATAAACTGGGAAGGGGAGAAATGGGAACTCATGGCGGGGAGGTGGCTGGGACAGTAGCCAGAGAGTTCAGCAATTTACCTTCCTATACCTGAGTTCCCTCACCTGTAAAGGGATATTATCCACCCTACTGGACCTAAGTTGTTGGAATCAAATAAAGATATATGAAAGAGTTTTGTGGATCCAATCCTGTGGACAGTTAAAGGGGATCCCACATAGCCAACTGCAGTTTAAACTTTGACCCTGGTAGCTTAAACACATTCTTATGCACATATGAGTGCATGCCCCAAATCCTGATGGGGAAAATGGGATTGCAGGGTGACCATGCTACATGTGGGAGTGCTTTCTCCCTCTCCTCTCTAGTGAACACACATACCCACTGACTGACAGGCAAATAAATAAAGCTTTATAAACTTTAAAGTGCTAGGTTTTAAAATTCAGTACATCTGGGGGCCAGCAGATGACATAATGTTTACACTGCTGGACTCCCACATAGTCGACTGTGGTTTGTGTCCTTGATGGTGGCTTAAAACAGGCCAGGCACATGGGTGTGCAGGCGTGTGTGCTCAAAATCCCAATAGGAGAATGGAAGGGAAGGGATTGCAGTGTGGCCATCCCCTCCAGGTAGGGGGGATTTCTTGCTTTCTAGCTCTGTCTCTCCAGTGAGCACACACACCCTGTAGCAAAAATCTCTCTAAAAAAAATAAAATAAAATAAAATAAATACATCTGAGCACTTGTTATGTGTAGCACTAGGAAAAAGATAGAAAGATCAGGGGACCAGCAGTTGGCGTAATGGCTGTGTCATTGGACTCCCACATAGTCGACCGCAGTTCGCGTCCCGGACCTGGTGGCTTAAAACTCATGCCGGGCGCGTGTGCGTGCGTGCCCAAGATCCCGAGAGGAGAATGGAGGAGAAGGGATCGCAGTGTGACAATCCTCCCTGGGGGGTGATTCTCGCTTTCTGTCTGTCTGGCTCTCTGTCTGTCTGTATGTCTGGCGAGCGCACGCGCCCTATAGCAAAAACCTCTCCAGGAGAAAAAAAAAAAGAAACAAGATAGAAAGATCAGATACAGAACTCCATAAACTATCTCAATAAAGCGCTGGGAACAAGAACTGTAACACAGGCTTTTTTTGGTTTGTTTTAAGTCTTTGCTGTGGAGGGCATGCTCACCAGAGACAGAGAAGGAGAATGAGAAATCACCCTAAAGGAGGCTGGCCCTTCTCCAATCTCCTTGGGATTCTGGGCATGTGATTTTTTTTTTTTTTTTTTTTTGGACGTGTTTTTGCTTATGGCGCCTTGTCTAGAGAAACAGAGAGACAGAAAGCGAGAAATCACCCCCCAGGGGTGGGCATCTTGGGCATGCATGCACGCACCCGGCATGAGTTTTAAGCCACCAGGTCCAGGATGCGAACCACAGTCGACTACATGGGAGTCTAGCGACACAGCCATTATTCTAACTGCTGGTCCCCCTGGGCATATGATTTTCAAGCCACTGGGTCCAGGACTCAAACCATGCAGTCAGCCATGTAGGATCCAGTGCCTTAACCTCCATGCCACCTGCTGGCTTCCCATAATACCAGCCTTGGAAGGGTGTTAAGATTAGCTAGATCAGGGCAATGGGAGTGCACTCTCCATACAGATGACTGGGGTTCAGTTCCTGGTTGACCTGACAATGACATGGCAATGTGTCTGTGATCCTGGCTGGGAAGGTGAGATGGGGAGGATTGGGAAGGTAACTGTGTGAGACTCTGTCAGGAGTGCCTGTCCTCGCTCATGAAATAACTTAAAAACAAACAACAACAACAAAAAAACCCCCAGAAAGTTAGATCAGCACATCCAGGCCCTCAAAAGAATCTTATTGTTATGTTCAGTGGGAGGCTAGGTAGTGTAATAGGCCATGTATGATAATAGGTCAGTACTTTGGCTGTGCCCTTACCAATGACACAACCTCAGGCAAGACTCATTCTCCCTAAGCCTGTTTCCTCTTCTGTAATGATGGTACCTCTCTCAGAGATGTTATGAGGATTCAGGGGCTAACATGTGCAAAGAACTCGGCACAGAGCCCTGTATATACAGTCAATATCCTAGGGGACTTGGTCCCAGGACCCTCCCCCCAGATACCAAAATCCTCAGATGCTCAAGTTGCTTATATAAAATGGCACAGTGTTTGCATATACCCTCTGCACATCCTCTCATTCACTTTAAATCGTTTCTATATTACTTGTACGTAATCTCAGCATCAGATAGAAATGGAAATACATAAGCTTCTTCGGTGTCTGTTAGGGAGCTGCCTCTTCCCCCATTTCATAACAAGTGGCGTGGCTTGGCATCTGAAGTTTGAATCTGTGGATATGGAACCCAAGGATGCAGAGGGCTACTGCACTGCATCTGTAATGGTGCCTTATAGAGAGCTATGGGCTGGACTAGTGGACAGAGGTGAGACGAGTTCATGTGAGGGGAACATGAACATATTGAAAGGGGTCCCAGTGGATGTCCTAGGTAAGCGGAAGCAGAATGGCCCTACCCATCAATGATCAGAGATTCATAGGGAGCCTTCTTGTCACACACAGGACATGTCCACGTTGGCTTCTTCTCATTCATCTGTAGATAAAGGGCAGCATCGAAGCTCTGCAGGTGGGCACAGGTGAGGGCACGGCAAGGGACAGTCAGGCGCATCTTCCCGAGCTGAGGCGAGGCAAGTTCTCTAGTTAGTCTCCACTCCACTTTCATCCCAATAAAGCCCACACTAGTATCCCAGGAACCCTCACTTTGGGTCCAGAGGTTTAACCCAGTCCTCCTCCCCCTTCCCATTTCCCCTTGTACCCACCGGGCACATGAGTGACACCCGGAGACTTGTAGTGGCCACCTCACTGTCAGGGTCAGCAGTCAACTTCTCCTTGACTGAAACAAGAGTGAGGCCAGAACCATGTGGTTAGCACAGCTAGAGGAAGCCCCGGAGTCGATGAAGCCAGCGGCGGACAGCTGTGGCTGAGAGGCAGCTGGGTGGAGTCTTTGAGGGCCAGTGGGATGCCACGTGGGGGTGGCCTGGAATCCGGACTATGAAGGTTGGGCGTGGAGGAGATTTCCCCATCTCTGAAGATGTTTAAACATAGCTGGGAAATGCTGTAGCTAAGTTTGAGATGATCTAGAAGGAACTGAAGCATCGTGAGAGGGTTAAATTAGATGATCTTTAAGGTTCTTTCCAGTCCAGAGAACCCACATTCTAACAGGGCTGGAACTGAGGTCTATGAGATGCAAAGCAGACATATAATTATGAACACAAGGGTGTCACTCACTGCCTGGAAGGGGTTCGACTTCTCAACCATGAAGACTGGCAAGGGGTACAGAGGGACAGCTGGGTTTCACATGAGAGGGGAAATGAGCTGTCACTTAGTTTGGTGACGATGGCTGGAGGGCCAGGAATACTTGGATCCAGATGAGAGGGTCAAGAAGGGGAAGGCTGTTACTCACTCAGTGCCCGGGAGTGGTCTGGGTTCCGGATACCCTTTGCTCTGAGTTTTTGTAGAAGGGTCCCTGCCGTCAACTGCCTCACCAGGTACACAGACAAGGAGTAATTCTACTTGGAGTTGGGGGGAGACAATTAGCCCCTGCTGCTCATACACCATCACCCCCTTTTGTCCCATGAGGGCCAGTGACAGTGGGCTAAAGGCAGAGACCCAGAAAGAAGACTTTTCCCCAACCCCAGATTTTGGGTGGCTCCCCTACATCCCCTGCAGGCTTTCCCAGGCGGCCCACTTTAGCTTTGCTCACCCGTCCAAACTCAGATGACCAGTTGACCACAATAGTGTTGGGAACAGTGGCTGAGAGTCGAGCCAAGGGTGTGATGTTGATAGGTCGGCTGGGCCTCTTGGGCTCGGCCCCATTCTTGGTGGGGGGAAGATAACCCTGGGGAAGGGAGACTGATCAGTGGAGGGGACGGCTCTGGGAAGAGGCTCTGCTCTAACAACAAAAGACATCTCGTCTCAGGCTACTCACTCCCTGGAGGAAAGGCCAGCTCATTCACTGACCAAGGGGATGGGGGTCCATTCAGAGACTCACAAAACTGGGGCACTGTCTAGGGCTGTGTGTGGGGTTCACGCCTGGAGAGAAAGGAGAGCTTATTTATTGACTAAGGAAACAGAAACCCACGCACTGAGTTCTTGAGGAGGAAGAGTAGGGACACCACTCTTCTTCCAACTCTTGATTTGGGTCATGACTTTTAAGAATTCTCCCCCTGAACCTTTAGGTTGAGCTGCCTTATTCCAGGTTCTGACAATCTTTGTTCAGCCCTATCTTATACTCTCTAGGAGCCACTCAGTGGCACAGTGGTAATGCAACTGGACCCACATGGGAAGGTAGTGGGTTCATGTCCCGAGACCTGAATATATATGTTCAGGCTGCACACATGTACCCATGGTCTGGATTGGCCAGGCTGGGAGTAGTTGGCAGAATGAAGACCCCTATTGGGGATGCCTGTTTCTCTCATGGAAGAAATAAATAAACTGAAAAAAGAAAAAGAAAATACTCTCTCACTATACATTAATTCACCAGTAAACAGAGCACCTACTATGTGCCTGGCTCTGCAAGGCATGTCTCTTCCACAATAGGTTTATAATTAATCCTTATTCACTGAAACAGGAAGGGGTTAGAGCCCGAGAGAAGGGATGAAAATTTACCGGCAGGGGGCACAGTTTCCCATTGACCTTGACAAAGAGGTTGGGGGGGAAATAATCCTCCTGGGGACAGCTGGTCTCACAGAGACAGAACCTGGGGAGAGATGAGAGAGAACAAAAGGGTGGGAGCCTGGGGAGTCATGGAACCCCTAAAAGTCAGTCACAGGTATCTGTAGCCTTCAGAGCTAAGCTGGGCAGTGGCAGGGCTGGGGTAGCTCCCGGGAGTATCTGTCATATCCCTACGTCACTCCCAACCCCAGTAAGGAGCCCAGCAGGGTAGGCAGGGAGAATCAACTCACCTCAGCTGCACCTGTATGGTATAATCGCACTTGGCTCCTGGCAGAACCTCTCTGGAACATGGAGGGAAAAGGAGAGAAGTCAGCATACAGCCCCGGAGGGCAGGGGGAGATGGAAAGAGATGGGAAGTTGGATGTCCAGGGCACAGAGGAGAGACATATAAAAGAACGAGATGAAGCAGGCATAGGAGGACTGACAGGGAGGAGGGCAGGGCAGAAGAGAAGGAAGGCAGAGAGCAGAGTCCAGGGGTAACCACCCAGGAGTGAGGCAGGACTCAGGTACCTGGACGTGAGGATCTGCTGCACTTGCTGGGGTGTGAGGGCAAAGGTAAAGTGCGCTTCCTCGAACCGCTGGCTAGAAGTGGATGCTGAGGACACAAAGGGGCAGTTATTCCCAGGCCCGTGCACAGGTGGCCACAGAAGTTGCCTCCACCCCAGGTCAGTGATCCCACAGGACTAAGGTCTAAGACAGGCTTGGGGACGGGGGGACCAGCAGATGGCATAATGGTTAGGCTGCTGGACTACCACGTAGTCGACCACAGTTCGCGTCCTAGACCAATGTCTTAAAACACATACCAGGCGCATGTGCATGCGTGCCCAAAATCTCAAAAGGAAAATGGAAAAGAAGGAATTGCGGTGTGGCCCTCCCCTCTGGGGGGTGATTTCTCACTTTCTTTCTCTCTGGCAAGCACACGTGCCCTATAGTAAAAATCTCTCTTAAAAACGACAGGCTTGGAGAAGAGGCATGGAGTCCAGGAAGACTGAGGGACCACAGAAAGCCATACCGAGGGTGGTGGGCCGGATGAGCTCTCCGTAGACTTCATAGAAGGGCAATGGTTTCATGGTGACATCAGGGTGCACAGGTTGGGGCAGAGGGGGGTGCATGTCCACCTCACGTTTCGGGCCCAGCAGGGTGCCAGGGGCCAACAGGGTGGGGGGAATGGGAGCTAGAGGACCAGGGGAGCCTACAGGAGAGGTGCCAGGCGGGAGAGAGAGCAGAGAAAGGTCAGAGGGCCCCAGGGTCTTCCGGGGAAAGCGTCGGCGGTAAAGCTCCTTTATCTTCATCTGGACACTGGGGGCACAGCTGGACTTGAGGAGGTGCAGGGCCTTGGCCAGGAGCTCGTGCTTGCGTCCACTCTTGTTCCGGCCAGCAAAGCCAAGGAGCACCTGCAGCTCAGACACCCGGAAACTCATCACCATGTGCTGTGGAGAAAAACAAAACCTTGAGAATCCTCCCTGGGCAGACCTGTCCAGCCAAAGACACTGGGGCTGAGCTGCCAAGTGGGCAGAGCTGCCAGGTGGGCAGAGCCTCTTTCTGCCCAGCACTGCTCAGAAAGATGCTGTGTAGCTAGCAGATTACTACCAGGCGGCCGACCTGGCCGAAGGGACATCTCTGCCCATTTTAGCAACCCTCAGGTCAGGCTTACTGCCCCCCTGCCCCCACCCCTGAACAACCTTACGTCTCCAGGCCTAGAAGGGGGCCAGAGGGGGGATAGAGGGTAGCAGTCAGCAGCCATCCTCAGACACACCTCTGATTCCACTGTGGCCCCTACTTCCATCCCTGCCTATAGCCTAGGCTCTCCTGTAAGCTGCTTATCTCCTCTTGCTCTTTGTCAGCCTCTCAGAACCATCCCAGCCTCCTGGGCAGAGGATGGGACACAGGGAGACAGGGAGAGAAGAGAGGATTCAGGCCAGACAGCCTCACAGGGAAGAAAGGGACCAGGTGGCTCAGTGGTTGTGTCCCTGCCTACCCTTCCCCACCACCTCAATCCACCTCACTCTTTTTCCCCAAGCCTCTGAAGCTTTTGTAGACAGGGTTTTCAGGTCAAGGCTCAATGCTCATAAACCCCCAAAATCTTTTCTCGGCATCATTTTCATGACCACTCTCCCTTAGTCCTATTTTTCTGGGAGGAAATAGGACCAACACTTGGGGAGGAGCAGCAGAAGGGGTTGACAGTGAGTCACTGAGTCCAGGTACCCTGTCTCTATACACCAGCCGCCAAGGACTAATAACCTGCTTCTCTCTTACATGAAGTAAGTGATTCCACCCACACACACCCTCATGAGGTAGAAGAGAAGAAGGCATAACTCTAAACAGAGCCCTTGAGAGTGCGAGGAACGCCCCAAGTCAGGGCACAGAATAGCAAGCGCCTCTGCAGGGAGTCTGCCCAGGATGATAGCTCCATCAAAGGGCAAAACAAAGCCAGGAGGCAGGGGACGGACCAGGACCAGTGGTTGAAGTTCCATGTCCTCAGATGTAGTTACGCTCAAGACTCTGTGGCAGCGGGAAGAGAGCTCGCTCCTTGGAAGGACTCCTTTCTGTAAATCGTGAGGTGACTGTCATGGGCAGGCCTTGCCAGCCCCACAATTCCTCCAATCTAAGAGGCTTTGTCTTGGACGGCTTTTGAGGGATGTGATGAAAAACTTGTTCCTCTGTCCAGTGTTTATTTCTCCACTAGCTTTGCTGTAACTTCCCTCCTTTCTATGCCATAGTTTAACATTCCTCTGTCTCTGCCCAAAGCCAGGCTCCTAGGGTAGGACCTGCCTTCCAGCCTCCAGGATGCTCCTGCCCCACCCCTCCAGGTGCCGCCCGCCCCGCCCCGCCCCTACATCTCAGCGGTCCACTGGTACTTGCAAGGCTCAGATCCCAAGAGCAACCCCAAAGCCGCCAGCCTCGCGGCTGCATTTTCCCCAGGAGCCTCCCTACATCTGTCCCCCAGACCTATCCCTACGTCTGCCCCCTACTGTCGCATCTCCTGGCCCTGATCCGCTCGCCCCCTACGCCTCCCCAGCAGCTTTTCTCCCCAACCCGACCCCTACTA